GTTTGTAAACCTTCACACTTTCGATCAGGCAGGCCACAGTGCTGTTTCTGTACAGTCGTTAAACCCTAGAAGAGTTGTCACCTCTCAAAACACGCTAAACCTTAAACAAATGTGTTATTCCTGCCGACGGATTTCCGAAGAGAGCTAGTTAAGAAAGAGAGCACCCCCCGAACCAACTGAAGCTGCGGTCACGCTATCGCTTTATGATAGCAACCACAGCTGTCAAATGTCATGACTTGCATCTCCTCAACTGTCGATCCTCAACAAAGCAAGGCCCACCGGATGTTCACCCTTCAGAGTACACTAAACTCTAAGAAAACTATGTTGTTCTTGTCGATGGATAAGAAAGCAGCACTGCCCAAACCAACTGCTGCGGTCACGACATCGCTTTACGATAGCAACCACAGCTATCGAATTCGATTTCATGTCTTTCAATGTTTCCACATCGGAGTGTGTCCGCTGATATCCACGTCATTGCCGCAAACAACAAGGTCAAAGTGCTGTTGCTCTACAGTCGTTAAACCTTAAAAAATGTGTTTCTCCTGCCGATGAGAACGGGCATGAAAGCTATTTTCAGAAGAAAGCACTGCCCAAAGCAGCTGAGGCTGCGGTCACGTCATCGCTGTACGATAGCAACCACAGCTATCAGATTCGATTTCATGTCTTTCAATGTTTCCACATCGGACTGTGTCCACTGATATCGACTTCATCGCCCTGCATAACAACAAGGTTACAGTGCTGCCTGGAGGGGCCCAGCTCTAGAAGACAAAGGCTCTGAGAGTTGACGAAGCTAGCCGTGCAAGCCAGATGTTTTGACCCCTGGAGGGGCCCAGCTTTAGAAGACAGATGTTTTAAGCTTTGAAGAAGCTAGCCGTGCAAGCTAGATGTTTTGACCCCTGGAGGGGCCCAGCTGTGCAAGACAGATGTTTTGAGCTTTGAGGAAGCTAGCCCTACAAGCTAGATGCTTTGGCCCCTGGAGAGCGAAGACAGATGAGCTTCGGAGAGGCTAGCCGTGTAAGCTGGATGTTTTGACCCCTGGAGGGGCCCAACTGTAGAAGACAGATGTTTTGAGCTTAGAAGAGGCTAGCCGTGCAAGCCAGATGTTTTGACCCCTTGAGGGGCCCAGCTGTACAAGACACATGTTTTGAGTAAATACCGCGTTAAAACAACGGCCAGGGATCCCACGCATCTGCGGGCAAAATCTGGCGGAAGTGATCCGCCACCGAGCAAAAAGCCTGCAAATACCGCATTAAACAAAGGGCCAGGGATTTCACACATCTGTTGGCAAAATCTGGCGGAAGTGAGCAGTCGGTACTTCCGCCAGGTTGTGTGAAGTGGGAGATGCTAGGGCCCAAACACTAGGCCCTAAAATTTGGCCCTAAGCCGTAGGGCCCTAAACTCGAGGGCGCCCTAAACCGTAGGGCCCTAAACCCGGGGCGGATCAACTCCCTAAACCGTCCGGCCCTAAACCCGAGGGGGCCCCTAAACCGTAGGGCCCTAAACCCGAAAGACCCTAAACCGTAGGCCTAAAAACCCGCGGATCAACTCCCTAAACTGTAAGGCCCTAAACCCGAGGGGGCCCCAAACTGTAGAGCCCTAAACCCCAGGGCGCCCTAAACCGTAGGGCCCTAAACCCCAGGGAGCCCTAAACCGTAGAGCCCTAAACCCCAGGCGCCCTAAACCGGCCCTAAACCACGGCGGGCATCAACTCGCCACGAGTTTTGATCAAGTCGCCATGAGTTTTGATCAAGTCGCCACGAGTTTTGATCAAGTCGCCACGAGTTTTGATCAAGTCGCCACGAGTTTTGATCAAGAGCCACGAGTTTTGATCAAGAGCCACGAGTTTTGATCAAGTGCCTAAACCGTCAAGCCTAAACCCCACAGGGGCCCTAAACCGTAAAGCCTAAACCCCACGGGGGCCCTAAACCGTAAAGCCTAGACCCCACAGGGGCCCTAAACCGTAAGGCCGAAACCCCACAGGGGCCCTAAACCGGAAGGGCTAAACCCCGGCGGGGGATCAACTCGCCACGAGTTTTGATCAAGTCGCCACGAGTTTTGATCAAGTCGCCACGAGTTTTGATCAAGGACTTTTTGGTCATTAGGGTTTAAATATACATAGGTAAATATGTTCAGGGTTTAGGGTTCAGGGTTTAGGGGTTTAGGTGTTCAGGGTTTAGGGGTTCAGGGTTTAGAGTTTAGGGGGTTTCCCCTACTGTAGGTTAGTGTCCTCTGGGCATCTGGGGCCCCGCACAATCTGCAGGACCTCTGGCATCCTGGAATCAAAAGGGGAAAAGGAGGGACCCTTAATAAGGACCCCTAGGTATATACCCTTAATATATCTATTATATACCCATTATATAGCCCATTATAGGGTAAGGGTCCCCATTAAGGGTCCCTCCTTTTCCCCTTTGATAGAATGCCTGAACATCCAAGGTCCCGAAAGTAGGTTTTTAAACCCTAACCTACCAAGTCCTAAACCCTAAACCGGCCCCTGACCCCAAACTAAGCCCTAAACCCTAAACACTCAGCCTTGTCAGTCGGACATCGTCCCAAATGCTTTGGGCCTCTTCTTCGGCTGCGGCGCTATCATCCTGTGCCGAAGGCTCGCGGCCACAGGGATTACCTGTGACTGCAAAACACCTGTGTTCACTTAAAGGGTTGAGCAACACACTAGTAATAGCTGACCTTTGGAGTACCACACTTTAATACCTTTTGTGTAAGGAACGATTCATTATGAAATACAGTTTATATTTGTTCTCCCTGGTTGCTGAAAAAACCCAGATAATCTTGGGGCTTGCACTTACTTTGTTCTCTGTTCTCACATCTTGCTTCGCAAGGCTGCGTGGCTTTCTCTACAACGACCCAAAACCTTGCATTTGCATGGGTTTACAAAGGTGTGCGAGGGTTCCAGGAGTTTACTGAGATTTACAGGGTTTTCCATTTGTGTAGGGTTTAGGGTTTAGAGTTCATGTAGGGTTTATGGAAGTATTTCAGGCCAGGGTCCCGACCCGGGATTCGAAAGTCAGAGTGTTGTTGGGTTCTGGAGGGTTAAAGGGATCAGGGTGCAGAGTCTAGCGTTCCTTTACTTCTGCATGTTAGGGCCATGAGACGGGCACATGAAGTCACACAGAATGCAATGCCACTTTACCCGACGTACCCAAATCGCCTGCACCCCCAAACCCTAAATTACCCAAACGCTACTGTAAGGTCCCTAAACCCTAAACCCTAAACCCCTAAACCCTAAACCCTTAACCCTAAACCCAAACGCTACTGTAAGGTTCTGAACTCTAAACCCCGAAAGCCTGAACCTGGAAGTCCTTGCAATTCCCTGCCAAAGCTCAACAGGGTTTAGGGTTTAGGGTTTAGGGTTTCGACGGAAGGATGGGCTACCTGTCCAAAGCACCGAGGCCGGTTCGAATGCCAACAGCCGTTTCGGGTTTAGGCGCTACCTATAGTCTCCATTGTAGTTCCTTTTTAGGGTTACCTTATAGGATCCTGATTACATATGTGGTTAAACCAACAAAAGGAACTACAATGGAGACTCTAGGTACATTACCTTTTTAAGGCTACTTACTTTGGTTTACGGATACAAGTCCTTGAAAAGGTAAGGCATTTGGGGTGAAGGTAGGATCTGGGGGTGTGACATACAAGCCTCGTTCTCGTAAGCCCATATTGAGCATCCGACGTCACATACATACACAGAAGTCGAAGTATGTAGTACACGGGGAAGCCAAGACCTCTTCTGCTTGGCAATCTCAGTCCTCCCGCCCATCCCCCCACACATCCACATGCCTGTACATGCATTACGTAATATACATACATGCATACATGCATACATGTATCTGCATATGTATGTTTTTCATGCTCGTTTACTTTCACCCAGTACGGACAGGGACTATGCAAGCTTTATACTTCTGTGCCAAAAGAAGAGGCGATGGGGTTGCTTCGGTAGCCCTACACCTGAAAACCCTACAGTAGAAGCAATAGCCTGAATCCTTCAGAGTACTGTATAGGCGATCCCAGCACTATTTGGTCTTAATCCGGTTTCCAACTTTATGGGGTTTGCTGTAGACCGTTACACTCCACACCCTAAAGCCCATGCCTGTGGCTACAGGCCTGGTCCAAAATCTTCAGTCTTATGGGGGTTTCCGAAAACAGGGGCCCAAATATAGTACCCTAAGTAGTAGGATCCTGATTAGAAGAACCCCAAGATAAGGTACCCCTAATTTTGGGAAACTCCCAAATCACCAGGGGCAAAAGATGAGTCACCTCAAAAAGGGGCCCCAAACTTCACGTCAGAACCTCTCCGCAGCTTAACTCCTGAACCCTACGCCGTTGAAGCCGAAGCTGCGACGAAGGGCTCGGACTCGGACACCCCGGTTCTGGGATTCAAAGTTGAGGCTTTAGGGTTTAGGATCTTGGGTGGGGTTATCAGGGAAGAGCTTTGCTCATCTGAATCTGCTACGGGCGCTCCGGATTGTTTGTTGTCAGGGCTATTTAATAGTCCCTAAACCCTAAACCCCAAAATCAGCACACCCCTATTGTAAGCCCTAACAATCCAAGGGTTGAGGCGAGGGTCTCGATGCGTCAGTCAACCTAGGCCAGATTGCCTACTCACTCCTGAGAGTCACTTCGACGGTCTATTCGTTTCAAGCTTGGGCCACCGCTTTAGGGGGGTTTCAGGCTCAGGGTTTAGGGTAATGTTTCGGTCCCTTAATGGTCGTGCCCTTTGTTACTTCAAAGCGAAGGCGAATCCCTCAATCCTTGATCCGACTCATCTGTTCATTGCATGTACTCCTCTATGGCGAAGTCGACAGTCTACCCAATGATGCATTGCCAAGAAGACTGAATAATCGCTGGCTTTCTGGCCCCAAGCAAAACCCCCCCCCCTGAAAGACTTCAGAAAACCCTTCAACTTAAGCCGGCGACAGCGCCAAACCCTTAAGCCCTCTTAAACTTCCCCAAACTGGGACAGCGCAGAAGGGAGACTTGCATGCCTCATGGGAAGCATGAAACTGTCCTTCTCCTTCGCCAAGACACTTGTCTGAAGATGGATTTTGCTCTTGGTCTCAGTCGCGTTTCCAACGATTGCCAGACAGTGCTCGTTGTGAGAATGTTGCACGGTGAGGCGTTCAAAACGTTTCCAGAAATTCTACACTCCGAACCTGATGCTTTTAGACAGCCGAGGAAAGCTGAGCCGAAGCGAGTCGTTGCAGCCCTGTCTACCAAGCCCAAGGAAGAAGCTTGGAAGCACTCTGCTTGCGTACTCCAGGGATCATGGGTAGACAGCGGTGAAGTTGTAAGTTGGGTAATGGCTTCGCTCAACAATCGCACACAACTCCAGCTGCTGTGCCTGCGCACCAGTCCTCGGTAATAGATGATATACAAGCCTTCATTCAGTTGTCACGTATCTGCGCCGCTAACTTTTCGAGTCGCGAGGGGGTGTAGGGGTTAGGTGTGTTTTATATTGTGTTGGTTAGTAGTTGGAGAATACTGTGTTATGTCACCTAAACCCAAAACCCTAAACCCTAAACCCTAAAGTTATGTCAACCTCGAACATGGAGCAAAGTCTCGACCGCCACCCCCCGAAGCGATTTGCAAGCGCCAACCAGTGATTGAGACCTTGTAACTGGTCACCGTAAGCCGCCCATGTGCTAAATCCCCACATAAATCCTCAGTAAACCACCCCAGCCGCTGCTTTCTGGCGGGGGGGGCGTCAATACCTGCAGAAAACAGGCTTTTGAGTTTCCTGGGTAGGCCCTCTATGCTCCCTCGCCTGGCAGGTCTTTGTCAATGCCGCTGCTACTTAATGAGCCCAACACAAGGGTCTTGGAAGACGAAATGCGCACACCTTACAAGTTTTGGGGACAAGAGGCTCAAAAAGCTTAAACAACAGGCTCTGAACCCTAAAGCCTTAACACCATCATGCCGAAGGATGAAGGCAGAGAAATCATCACCTCACTGGAGGGCGGCGAAGTTCAGATAGATGGTACCTCGGCTGCTGGTGTCCCTGAAAAGTTTCTCTTTGGAGTGAAGCGTTGGGGCTTCATCGGCTTAGGGCTCAAAACTTGTGTTTGTTGGGGTTTAGGTTTTGGCTTCGTGCCTTTGCGAGTTTAAAGTTATCTACCGCTCTAGGGGAGTGATGTGTGTAAGGGTTCCTTGCTGTAGAAAGCCGTTGGATTGTCTAAAGACCAGAAACCCCAAGTGCACGCCACCGTTTCTATCCAGCGTTCAGCATGTTAAGCATCATATACATGATGACACGTGTGAGTGTGAGTGTGTCTGTATATTGTATACGAAAGCTGACTATGTATCTACTTGGTTAGGGTTGGTTGGTTGGTTGGTTGGCCGGTTGCCCAGTTATAGTTTGTTAGTAGGGTTGCTAATTAGTCACTTGCTTGGCTGTCCAGCCGAAAACCCTACATCTGAAAAATCCCAAAGCCTAAGCCGCCAAAACCCTAAAAAAGCAATCTTTAAATCCCTCAGCCCTCAAGCCCTAAAAGCCTAAGCCGCTCAAATACCAAGACCCCCAAAGTCTAACACCCTCGAGGCCTCAAACCCTAAACCCTAAACCCTCAAACTCGAACCCCGGAACCCCTCAAACCCTAAAGATCTGAACCCTTCAAACTCTAGCAACCCTGCGACCCCAAACCCTAAAGCATTTCACCCTACAGTAAACCCCATAAAGTTGGAAGCAGGATTAAGGCCAAACAGTGCTGGGATTCCCCATACATGACTCTGAAGGATTGAGGCTGTTGGGTTTCCAACTTGTAGGCTTCTACTGTAAAACCTTCAATCGCTGAAGCCCTACCTTAAACTACCAAACCCTACTTTTCTGTAGGTTCTTGTCATAAACCCTAATATGGAATTTGTAGGGACCCTACAACAAAGTAGGTTTTGGTAGGTTAAGGTCCCAGAGACTCCAATACCCCTTAATTAAGGAATATACCTTAAATTATAGTAGGATCCTTAATATGATTTAAGGAATATTCCTTAATTATGGGATTTTGGAGTCTCTGGGGTAATCAAGCCCTGGAGCCCTAACCACCGAAACCCACAAAACCCGACGGGTGCGGCGGGTTTGCGCCCACGTTTCGACGAGGTGCGGCAGAGGCCGCAAAAGCCTTCACCATCCCCTGCAAGAATCCGCTGGAGGCCGCTATGGGTTTAGAGTTCAATCTTTAGGGTTTAGGGGTTTAGGGTTTAAGCTTTGACTCAGCTTTTAGGTTTTAGAGGTTAATCAGGGTTTAGGGTTGACGATTTGGGGTTTAGGGTTTAGGCCTCTTTAGGTGTCGGTTGTATAGGGGTTCTAGAATGGATCTATGGGCTTGCTTGTTTCACTTTTCGGCTGATGAACTTTGGGTTTAGGGGGTACAATGCTTGGGATTTACAGTAGAAGCCCAAAAGTTGGAAACCGCATAGCCTCAATCCTCAAGAGTAATGTATAGGGAATCCCAGCACTATTTGGCCTTAATCCGGTTTCCAACTTTATGGAGTTTACTGTAATAGGCTGGGAGAAAGCTGCGTGCGGTCCATGGGTCAAGATTTTCAGATCAGATAAAGCTAAGCCTTGGGCCGAGACACATCAACAACGAGACGGATGTTCAAAGGGGAAAAGGAGGGACCCTTAATGGGGACCCCTACCCTATAATGGGCTCTATAATGGGTATAGAATAGCTATATTAAGGGTATATATACCTAGGGGTCCTTATTAAGGGTCCCTCCTATTCCCCTTTGAGATATTTGCTTCACAACCCCAGGTCTACCGCAGCAGCAGTATAGTTTCCCCCCAAAGCCCACCGAACTCAAAAGTTCTGGGCCGTAAAGCCTTATAGGACCCTTCATAGCCACTCGCATAGAACTCTTAGTATACACCCCTGAGCCCCAAAACGCATTCTATACACCCTAACCACGAAAAGAACTGAAACTCCGTGCACCCAGAAGTTCCTGAAACTTTGAAATGGAACAGGCCAGCAAACTCCGACTTCGAAACACGAAGCCGGCAGAAGCCGCGGTGCCTCGTCAGCAGGGACAGATCCCGTTGCGAATCTTCGGTTTGTTCTCATAATGTAGGAGTCTGAATAACCAGTCATAATATGTTCTTACGGTCCCTGATACGTTGCTTCGTGCAAAGTGCTGAAAAGCCTCAAGGCCCTGAAACTACTTCAAGAGTTGAGGTGCATATTCAGTTCTGGAGCAAGAACCCTGAATGAGCCCAGTACTCCTGAGACGAACGGCCTACTAGCCAACACAAAGGTTTAGGATGCAGGTAACCCAATAATTGAACCCTAAACCCTAATCCTCCAGCCGCAAACGCACTGCAGCCCTAAGCCTTATATACCCGCCTATAGACCTCAAACCTTAAAACCCTAAGTAATAGAACTAGGCCTTCAACCACCGAGGCTGAAAGCCTAGAAGCACTTCCTCGTATGACCTGTTATAGTTCCCCTTAAGGGCTCCTACTTTAAAGAAGCCCTGAACGGATCCCTGAAAGTACTTTCATGGTATCTTTTACAGTACCCTTATGGTACCACTTTGTTGCACCTTGGAGTAACGCTTATGAATGACCAACCAAACCCCTATGTAGCTGAAAGTTCGTCCGAAGTTCCTCGCTTTTAAACCTACAGATCCCAGAAGCTTTCAGTTCCAAATCCAGCGGGTGTAACATAGTTGTGTGAACATATATAATGTGTGTGTATATATATATATATATACACATGAACATGCATATCGCGGTGTGTGTGTGTACATATACAACATACTTATACGTATACACACACGCACACCCTGACACCTCAAGAAAGCCGTGTAATATTCGAACAACTAAGCTCGCAACCTCAAGTGCACCGAAAGGTCTACCCCAAAGCATAAATCCTAAACCCATAAGCCCGACTAGGATGCCCAGTAGTACCCTTATTCCCTTTTTTGTAGTCCTAGGTTCCTTATAAAGTTACCCAATACCAAAAAGAGAGGCCTTTTTATTCTTAGGTTACTGGGTATCCTAGCCGAACTAAGCCCTCCACATCGAGGGCATTCCTTCGAGACCCTTCAAATCTCGAGGTCTCCTGTGGGAAGACGTGATCAAAGCCGTTCGTTCCCCAACAAAACGTCGCCAAAAAAACGGGATAGAATCCCGGAGGAAACCCGATAAACCTACGTCAAAATCTCCATACAAGCTCTTTAACCCCATTAAAGATCGCTGAGGAGGCTGCACCGAAAGAATCCGAAGCTTCTGCTGCCATCGAGGATGGCAAGGCACCCCAACCCTAAACCCTAAACCCTATAGACTCTAAGAACCTAGACCCTTTAAACCCTGAACTCTAACCGTGTCTGCCCTCTTAGGGTTCTATAATGCAGAGGTTTGGATGATTAGGAATAGCAATAACGCAGCATCTTAGCCCCGGTATAGTTCGAAGATGGTCGAAGCGTATATAGCACACGCCAACGCTCAAACTGTTCTAGTGATGAAGCCCCCTAAGATAAGGGATTTTCTTTGGAGTTTGAGTGTTCGACAGTGGTCTACAATCCAAGCGGGTTCTGCAGGACTTTGGAGTTTGGAGTTCAGTGATTTCCTGATGGGACGTTCGGGTTTATGCATGTCCTGGCATGTTTCAGGGTTTGATTTGAGGGTTTAGTGTACTAGAGTTTGCTCAGGGTTTTGAGGCATGTTGTTGGTATGTTGTTTGAGCTGGACTCTTCTTCATGCACTTTCCCGACGTGGCTCAGCGCCACTCATGCTCTTGTAATCTACAGGTGCTAGATGCAAGGTCCTGCCTGGACTCCTTCACTTTGTCATAGTCGGGTAACATTTTTGATTTTTGTGGGTACTTAAACCCAACAAAGGACCAGAAATTTACATTTTTTATTCCTATCCCAACTATGAACTAGTTTTATGGGTACTTAAAAACCCAATAAGGAGAATAAGTATACATGTTTATTCCTATCCCAACCATGAACTATAGTTCATGTATGGCAGCTCGGAGCTCTGAGCATTGACCTTTTCACCCTTGCAACCGCAAAAGCCGAATCCTCAAAAAGCTCTCAACTGCAGCCCCCCTTAGCGCTTAGTAACACGTCAGCCCAAGCCCTAATCCTTACCCACAGCCCTCAACCTGGTAATGACAATGTGTATCTGTTATCCTTCAAAACCCCTCTGTCCAAAAAATGCATGAAAGCGTTATGCTTCTACAACACCCCAAGCAGGAACTCGTCAGAAATTCCGTACATAAGCCACTAAGACTTGCTCATATACACTCATGCTACTATCGCAGAACCCAGATCTCAAGAATTGGCAGCAATATGTGCCCGCGATTACCCTCACCCCGAAACCCCAAGCGTCCAAGTACCCAGTAATCACATACTCTCCAAAAGCCTAACCTGCATAACTACTATCCTAAACCCAAGTACCTGATTATTGGGTCCTTTGGACCCTTGGGGAAACCTAAACCAGGGTGGGCTCGTTATCCCAAACATGCAGAAGCTGTCGGACGATGCTTCGAAGCTGCAGATGTCGTGGGTGGTACATCCTTAGGGCTACTTAGAAATAAATTTTAATTTTTGGTTATTATAATCCCTAAGAAACAGCTAAAATTCCAATTTTTGCTAGGGTTCTAAGTTCAGTATAGTATCGAAAGAAGAGTATCTTTAAGATGTGCTGTCAACGTTGGTACTTGCCTAAGAGTGGTTCGTGAGGAGCAGCGTTTTATAGGTACAGCGTCGCAGATGGGCTTGGGGACCTTTTGGGTGCAGGCGTCGTCGGACTTGCAAGGCTTACAGGCTTTCTGTGAGATGTCTTTGGACTCTTGAAGTCTTTCGGCTCTACGGTTTGGGATCTGCGGATGTCAAAACTTCGGGGTTCTTTGTCTGCGGTTTTCGTTCGGGTATGTTCGGGTCGGGTATCCTAGTTAAGTTTTTGTGTTGGCTACAGATAAGGCCCCCTTGCTGCAGACTCAGTCATCACCAAAGCTTCAATTCCTTTCTCTGTGTAAGCGCGATACATGAGATTCGCTCTGGGTTGTAATCTTGTAGGGCTGCACCAGAACCTGTCAAGCCGTATCGCCTGATGCCAGCAAGCCCGCGCAAGCTGTATTACAGTCTCAATTCGTTACGCTCTAAAATCTTACCGCCAGATGCCCCTCCCACCCCCCCAACGCCGATAGTCTTAAATCCAAGCCGAAAAGCCCACGCCCTTTATGCATGCCCTGCACGGCGAATCTTACGTACTGAAACACTCTGACCCGAATTGGAAAAGGTGTAAGTGTAGCAATAGCATGCACATGTATATATATATATACACATATATATATATATATATAACCCTAGAGCCTAAACCAAGTCCTAAACCACTTTAAACCCCCATAAACCCCTAAATAAACCCCTAAACCCTAGGCTGGGCTCCATATGGGAGTTTCCGCAAATGGGGGACCCTAATGTAGTACCCTAAATCGTAGGATCCTTATTATAAGGACCCCCAAATAAGGTACCCTGATTTTCGGAAACTCCCAGTTACCTGCTAAACCCTTATAAACCCCTATAAGCCTCTGAACCCAATCATAAATTAGGGGTACTTAGAGAAATAACTTTTAATTTTTGGTTATTATAATCCCTAAGAAACAGCTAAAATTATAATTTTTGCTAGGGTTCTAAGTTCAGTATAGATAATCCAGACTCGGCCCCATATCCTAAAGCTTCCTTTTTTCAGACCACCCCGAGGATGCCGAAGCCATGCGGGAACTCCTGAAGGAGATCCCCAGCCGTGACATACGGTTGATGATATAAATCCTGCATTACCCATAATAAGGAATATACCATAATTCCCCCAGTTTAGGGTCCTTAAGGTAATGCAGGATTTATATGATCAACAGTAGGTTAGTAAGTAAGGTTATAAGTACCTTAATTGGGGTTATAAGTAGTTCTAAGTACGCCTTGGAGATTACGGGGTATAGTGTGCCCTAAACCCTACCTATAGTCTCCATTGTAGTTACTTTTTTTGGTTTAGCCAATTCTATATTAGGGATCCTAAAAGGTAACCCCAAAAAGGAACTACAATGGAGACTATAGGTAGGTGGGCCTTTGGGACATTTCATGTTTGCCCTCATTGGGCTTAATAGGACCGTATTTGCGAATATTTTGTCAGAGGCTTTAAAGGGCCAACCTAGTGAAGGACTTACCTCTGGTTAGTAGGGAATGGAGGAATCGGGTGCAATTATAACTACTATTACTACCGTTCTTCCATCCCCTACTAACCAAAGCCCCTTCGTGACAGTTTAGGGATTTAGGGATTTATAGGGGTTTAGGGATTTAGGGGTTCAGGGGGTTCAGGGATTTAGGGGTTTAGGGTTTGGGGTGTAGGGTGCAGGGCTTACGACCCTTTCACGACCCTAAGTTTTACACTTATGAGCGTGGTGGCGTTTATAAAGAAGTTTAAGGTTTAGGGTGGTCTGTTACGTTGGCTAAAGCAGAAGGCTCAAAGGAATGAAAGTGCAATGTTCCAAACGATTTGAGGCTTTCTGGGCTGTTTTGAGCCTTCGAGTAAGGCTCCATATAAGGGTTCTAGGATTGCCGTTTATGGTTCTAACAGACTACGAGGGTTTCGTACTAGTCTTTCAATGGTTTACAGGTCCAAAGACCAAACAAAGTGCTGCCTGCGGTTGGACAGGTTGAAGGGGCTTTGGGGACACTAACTAACCAGATCCCTTCACGGATGAAAGGCAACACTGAACTTAGCCCTTCTCTTACGGAATTGAGAGCTGAACCTAAAGATTCTAGGAAAGAGAGCCTAAGGTCTAACGACCTACATATTACGCCTTGCAAGAGAAAGCCAAATAGCATCTTCGTCGCCTAAACTGTGCTCCCTACCTGAACCCTAAAACCCCAACTCCTAAACTCAAAACCCTAAACCCTTAAGCCCTTAAAACCCTAAACACGGCCCATGTTGTGAGAGTTTTGGACGCTTTGCCACTGAGCCATTGAACGGAAGGAGGCCGTACATGGCGAAGGCGAGTCCGTCCGAGAGGCCTTGTCCCAATGTCTTAGATCCCCAATACCAACTTTTTGGGTTCTTATAGTTTAATAGGAATCGGAAAGTTTAAGCTTTGATTTCTGTGGCCTCTTGGGGTTGTAAGATGTGGGGCCTTGACTCATAAGCATAAAGAAGGGGCCTAAATCATTAGAACAGCGTTCCTTTTACGGGCTCTATATAAGGGTTCCTTTCAGGCTTCTATAATGGGATCTATATAGGGGCCTAAATCGTTACCAATACTATTGTGGGGGTTGCTTATTACAAGTGTAGTTTAATATGCTCCAAAAAGTCTAATCTAATTATGAAGGCCCCTATATTAAAGTGCTACCCTTATGTACCAACTTTTTAGGGTCATATCCCTTTTTTGAAGGATACATGGATTGCTCTAGGTAGGCTTGAGAGTGGTTCAAGGGCCTAGGCCTCGTGGTTCAGCAGTTCAGTCAGCGTGGGCAAGAGCTGAATCCCGATGCCGAATCCCGAAGCCGCTGAATGGGGCGTGTCAGTCAAGAACTCCATCATTTATGTATCCTCTATTGCGGATCTGCTTTAAAAGTATTTAGAATTAGGATACTCGTGACCGTAAGCTGGATTCTCGTGAGGCCTGAATCAATGTACCAGGTTGTAGAAGCGCAGTCGGATCTGACAAGATATAATATGATTACTTGCCTTTACAGCATCAGCCACAGAGAACCTCCTCAGAACTACTGTAGTCCTGTTTCAGTTATGTGGACCATGTGTCTGAGGTGCTGTTTCAGCCAGAAGGAGGGTGTCCTGCGACAGGCAATATGTTTTTGTTACGACAAGCCTTATAGCTGATGGCATGTAAGGTACCGTAAATCGTAACCTGAACTAAACACTTTGCCTTGCCTGCAGCTCCATAAAATCTTGAAGTAATAGGCAATAGGTAGCTGAAGCCACAGGTAAACCCTCAACCCCGAGCCCTAACCACCCTGAGTTCTAGACGCTTATAGCCTACTTATAGCTCTTCTAGAGGCCTATGAAAATCGCAGAAAGCACCGCTGCAAATTTGACAGTACATCCTTTGGAATCCGAAACCCGCAACCCCCAAACCCTAAACCCCCGAAGCCCTAAACCTAGAGCCCTTATGCAGGTGGCACCGATCCTCATGCGGGAAAACTCCAAGAAAGCAAGAGAAGGCTCATCTGATGGAGCCCCGATTTCGTTTTAGGGTTGTAGGCTGTAGGACTTCGGGTTTAGGGTACAAGTTTTAGGACTTGGGGTTAGGTTTTAGGGCTTTAGGGGTCAAAGTAGAAGTACAGTATAGAGCTATCAGGGTCTGCTAGTGCTAAATGGCCTGTGTTTGTTGTTTTGGGACTCGGACCAGCTCAGGGTTTGCAGGAACTACGCAGCAAACACGGAGTTCGACAGTGATGAGTTCAACAATGCTGGTTGTATTTTCAGTCATACCTTCGTCCCAGATTCGTGCAAAGTCTGGTACCTGCATCTCGGAGCTTATGCTTATGATAGAAATGGTGTTCTTGCTGACTTGTTGGTCGGGGTTGTGATGATGATCTCGACGTCGGCGGTGATTGTGATATCGGTGGCGGTTTAGAGGTGTCTGGAAGTGGTGCTAGGAGTTACAGTGTCGCCATTTCGGCACACGGCCTCACGGCCTGTTGCATTTCATGCGCCAAATGTTTTACCCTCCATGCAACGGCAAATTTTAACGCCGAAACAGCTTTGGCCATGAGTTCTGGATCCAAAAACTACTGGAATACGGGCCGCAAGACTCTCGGTAGTAGGAGACAGTAGCTGTAGCAGCAGTAGTAGTAGTTCTAGTAGTTTTAGTAGCAGCAGCAGTACCCGCAACCTAAGCACTGAGCCCTTGACTGTAATGAGTAGTGCTACTAGCAGCAGCATCGGTTATATAGGAGCCTGATGAAGAAGCTTTGGTTCTGTCGCCCCAACATATTAGGTCGCACACAAGGAAGCCTAATGGGGTCCCAACATGGCTTACTCAGGTTCCTATACTGGTAAGCTTACATTTGGTTAGTAGGGAGTGGAAGAACGGTAGCAACAGTAGTTATAATTGTACCCCATTCCTCCATAGTAGTTCCTTTTTGGGATCACCTCATAGGATTCTAAATATGAGCCCCAAAAAGGAACTACTATGGAGCCTCTAGGTATACTGGTAAGTAGCGCATGCGATCCCCCAAAAGGCGGTGCAGAGGATGTCACTCGCGACTCCTACGAGAGGGTCCCCGTGGAGGTCGCCCTTCCTTGCACTTAGGGGGTTTAGTGTTTGGGGGTTAGGAATGTTTGGGGGTTAGGAAGGGTTTAGGGTTTAGGGCAGGTTAGGGTTTGGGAGTTAGGAAGGGTTTAGGGTTTAGGGCAGGTTAGGGTTTGAGAGTTAGGAATGGTTTAGGGTTTAGGGTTTAGGGCAGGTTAGGGTTTGAGAGTTAGGAAGGGTTTAGGGTTTAGGGTTTAGGGCAGGTTAGGGTTTGGGAGTTAGGAAGGGTTTAGGGTTTAGGGCAGGTTAGGGTTTGGGAGGTAGGAAGGGTTTAGGGTTTTGGGCAGGTTAGGGTTTGGGAGTTAGGAAGGGTTGAGGGTTTTGGGCAGGTTAGGGTTTGGGAAGGGTTTAGCGTTTAGGGCAGGTTAGGGCTTGGGGTTAGGATAATTGTACCAGCCCCCACAGGACTTTTGAGCCTATAACCTTAAAGGCAGAATCCAGGACCGACAGCCTAGCAATCAGAAGCCCACGCGCCCGCAGTAAGGATATCAAAGCAACTGAAAGCCCATAGAAGAATGTCAGAACAACTTCAGCCCCTAGGGCTCGAAATAGCCCAGAAGCCTTACAGACTATCGTGCGGTGTATCTTGGAGCACTGTAATGTAATAGTAACAAAACGCCATGAAGCCTTCACGTAATGCAGAAGCCCTGAACCCTACCGGCCCAACACCCGATAACACCACAGGGCCATGAAGTACGAACTCCGAACACGACACATATACCAATAGGACTATATTGACATGGAGAGGTCTTCTATATGCTTTGGGATATTGTTATATGTGTTGATGTCTGGAGGTAATGTTCACTCTCTATACATACTACGATGGCTATCATTAATGTAGCCCGAAACCCTAAACCTTAAACCGTCGGCGCATAGGCCCTTCTGAGAAAGGATTTAGGGTTGAAGGTTTGAGGGACAGTTTTCGGGTATGGCTCATATAATATACAGGGGCCTTAATAATTAGAATAGAGATTTGGAGTCATGGTACTATGCTTATAGTAAGGATCCCCAGTATAGTTAGTATTGGTAATCATGCAGGCCCCTATAATATGCCCTAAGCCAGAAAACCCCAAGCCCTAAACCCATACACCCTACCCTAAAACCTAAACCCCACACCCTAAACCCTAAGGCCTCAAACCCTAAGCTCTCAACCCAATTCGTCTCTTCTTGTTCCTTAGCACCGCTGTTGCGGAGGCGTTCGGCCTGGCCCTGCTCCGCGGCATGGGCCCCTTGGTCGCAGCACAGCACTTCGCAGATTCACGGTTTTGCTCTTATACCTTTAAATACTCATACTTATACTTATACTAACACTTACATATATATATATATATATATATATATGTATATATATATATATATGTATACACATGACACATATATATATAGAGAGAGAGAGAGAGATAGATCGACAGAGATATAAACGTTATGTGTATACGTATCTACACAGAATAGTTGTTGCATAGCATGACTTTGTAAGTTGTGCAGGGATTTTCTGGGTTTGTGAGCGTAATACAGGTGTCTGTTTAATTTGTGATGATACCCTTTCCTCAAGAACCCGATTGTAACTACTGCGGGCACCTGACTAAACCCTTTCTGCAAAGGGGTTTACCATGGGGGGAATATTGACCAGAGGTCTGCGATACAAACTACAGGGGCAATCAAAGGCTGCTGGAGGATTTAGTTAGGCTTTATGCGAAATGGTTTTCCGTTCAGTACTTTTGAGCACGCATTAGTTTTCGTGTATGGGCTTCGTGAGGGTGTTTATGCACGACAAGAGGCCAGGGAGCTTGACGAGTTAATGTTGTGAACTTTTGAGGCGTCGTACAGTATAATACCACATATCACGAACTTTTCCCCCTAAGCACGATTCTAGCGTTGTCCACAGCTTGGAACGTAGATCATGGTATGCGGATCCTTTCGTGCTGACTCTCGACTCGGTTAAAGGCGATTTTGTCGAGTTGAGGCACTATAGGGTGTAGGCATTGAAATAACATCCCTCGACCCCTAAACCCGGCAAGCTGGAAGTACCGAATGGTGGCCCTGAGCCACCCCCAAACTCCAACCGTTAATATCTCAGCGCAGGTTACGACCCCGAGAAGCACAAGACAAAGCCCATCTACCACGACAAGTAGATGGCCCAGTGTTTTTGGCTTCTTGGGGATTAGGAGGCTAGGGTCTAGGCTAGGCGGGATTGAGTTAGTGGTTTAAAGCTTGGAGGCCATGGGAGGAATTCACAGTTGCCGGGTTTGTTTTCATAGATGTGCAGGGTTTAGGGTGTCTCATTGAACGATAGGGTGTGCAGTGTGTAGTGTTTTTTTTCGCTTTCTGCTTGGTTAAACCCTGCAAACCCTGAACCCTGCACCCTTGTCTTAGGGGTACTTAGAAATAGTTTTTAATCTTTGGTTATTATACCCCCTAAGAAACAGCTAAAGTTATAATTTTTGCTAGGGTTCTAAGTTCAATCTGCGGGGGCAGGCTGTTGGGACCTAGGGGTCCAATGGGGGGTGGGGCTCCTTCGGAGGGTTTAGGGTTTCGGGGTTCTAGAGTTTGGGGTTTCGTGTAGGGTTTGTAGGGTTTGGGGCTCCTTTGGGCTGGAGTTTGGGGTTTGGTGTTGTGCCTTGCTTCGGTTTGGGGGAAGGGAACTTCGGGCAGAGATCCGGAAGTCGGGGGCAGTGCCATGAAGACCAAACCCTGAACCCGAAAAATCCTAAAAGCCCTAACCCCTAAACCCTGAAACCCGAAAAGGAGCCCTCAAAAAAAAACCTAAAACCCCAAAGCCCTAATCCCTCCTTCTCCTGGCGATTACTGAGTCTCTGCATTACTTCGTCAGTGCCTAGGATCCTTGGGTTAGAAGAATACGATCCCCGAAAAAATCTACCACAAAAGCACGTCCACCCCCCAAAACGGGTCCATACTTATGGTCTAGGGTTGAGGTTGCGCAGTTATTTCACGTGACTGCGACTCTCTCTATCTCGCGCGAACGTCTTCTATATAGTTGTGTGTGCACAGCTGTCCAGCAGTCCGATCGTGTTTGTGTGGTTAGAGGTGGGCTGCTGTCGACAGCTTGTGCAGCCAGTTGATTTCATTTTCATTGGTTCCCTTGAGATGGTGGCCCAACTGGCACTCATGATCGCACGGGCCAAAGTCTGCAGCCTGCCATGTGCGTACCGGGCGGTGCTGCGACAATACAGTGATAACATGGGAGTGGTGGCATCGGTTTCCAAAGGTTTGGCCAGCAAGCCACCGATGTGCTGTGCGCTGGTCACGCTTTGCCTGTCTGCGGATGAAATGCGACCTCTCACTTTCGCACATCGCCGGGGCGCGTAATGTGGAAGCTGACTACCTCAGTCGCATGAATTGCGCTTCGCAGCCTTTGGACCAAGCTATCGAATCTGCCTTTCCGAACCATAACAGAGTGGAGATCAGTGTCAAGGATGTGTTTGGGCCATGGAGAGACTTCATGTCCGGAGGACCCAAGTGTCTTTGACAGGTAGTCGTTTCTCGCGTCCTTTTGCCTCATGTGAGCTGCGTCGGTCATACCAGCCGCGGCTTCGCAGGGGATGTAGTGTTAGCGGCTGGGACATAGCAGGGACAGCAGGCGTTGTTGGGTGGAGTGGGACTGCTGTCCCTGGAGCCTGGAGGCTTCTGCTTAGGCTTTCGGACATCGTCCCATCATTCCAAAAAGGCCGCTTGTGTTGAGTGAGTGCGAGATTGTAGAGGTTGCGCAGTTATTTCACGTGACTGCGACTCTCTCTATCTCGCGCGGACGTCTTCTATATAGTTGTGTGTGCACAGCTGTCCAGCAGTCCGATCGTGTTTGTGTGGTTAGAGGTGGGCTGCTGTCGACAGCTTGTGCAGCCAGTTGATTTCATTTTCCCACCCGCCCGCCCTTAAAGGGTGGAGTGGGACTGCTGTCCCTGGAGCCTGGAGGCTTCTGCTTAGGCTTTCGGACATCGTCCCATCATTCCAAAAAGGCCGCTTGTGTTGAGTGAGTGCGAGATTGTAGAGGGTTAAGGGTACTCATGGCATACTGGATTCATACTTATGATAAGGGTCTTGGGTTATATATATATATATATACAAACCCTGACAGACTCGAAGCTTAACAAACCATTCGAACTCGTCGTCCCTCGCATGCTAGAAGCCCCAAGCCCCAAATAAAGAGCCCTAAACCATAAGCCCTGAGAGTGTTAACGACCCTAAACCACAACCTAATACAGTAGAAGCCAGAAAGTTGGAATATCATTATCGTAACCCCTTTAAGGTAAATTATAGGGGATCCTACCATTAATCCATATTCCAACTTTCTGGCTTCTACTGTACCAAGGCAAAGAGATAACCTTCTGGGCCTTGGAGCATCGCCTTTGTGGCTTGACCGTCACTGCTTGAAGCTGTACCTATAGTCGCCATTGTAGTTCCTTTTTGGGTTTAACCAATTCTATATTAGGGATCCTAAAAGGTAACCCCAAAAAGGAACTACAATGGAGACTATAGGTACTACTCAGGGGTACTTAGGAGAATTTGCAACTTTGCTTGCTATAGTCCCTAAGAAACAGCTGAAAGCCATTGTTTGTGCTGGGGGTCTAAGTTCAGTTTAGACTATGGGGGACCTCAAGAGTCATGCAAGTATTCCGGAGGGCTCCTAGGCCTAGGGACAGTACCCTATGCCCCAAACCCTACTCTGGTTATGAAGGCGCATAGATCAAGGAGATTCGAGTGTTCGGGTTCTACATGGAAATAAGGGGTTCCGGGTTGCTGGAGACAGTCACTTTTGCAAGAACCGAGCTCAGCTTTCCAACAACATGGGTGGCAGGTTTACTGGTTCAGCGTCGGCACGGCTAACGAGTTTTCGAGTTTACGGTGTTCAGGGCTTTAGGTGTCTATAGCACTGGGGCTCTGGTGCCTGTTCAGCTTATACAGTAGTTCAGACCTTTAAGGGTTTTAACTCTGTATCCCTGGCACTCAAAAAGTTCATGAACAAGTTTTTGCGTGCAAAGAAACAAGCTTGATTGAGGGGTTCTGCGTGTAGGTGCGTTTCACAGGGCCCCCACATATAAGCGCCAAAGAGATATCCGTGATCACCTGATGAAGTTCCTTTGATAAAACCAAGATCAAGTCAATCCCGATATTGTTTCCTGACGGCCTTCTTGAAAACCTTCGCAAGTCAGTTTAGGAGCCTCATTCCGAAACCTTTAATGCTTGTATGCAATGAGGGGATTCCCGGACTTCATTTCTAAGAATGCTACGACTTCCGAAGACGGCTTCGGATGTCGGGGGATTGACCTCAAGTAGGCCTTAGACAGCCCTCAAGGCTCTGAAAGTAGCATGTCTGAAAACCAGGTCGTTACAGTTCTTCATCAAGCGGGTTTTGGGTTAAGAGGGCTTAGTTGGGACACCGAATTCCGATGCCTACAAGATTGCAGAAACACACAAGTCCCCAAGTCGAACGTCTGAAGCCCTGAACCCGAAGCCAGGGCCCTCGAAGCCTCAAACCCTAACCCACCTCCTCCCTCACCCAAAAAGCAAAAATCAAAGACATGCCCGCTCATATCCTGATCCGGACACTCAGCCCTAACCGAGCTCTCTCTTGCCATACACAACTCCAAGCTCTGACCCTCCACGCTTAACTTAGACTTGAGCATGTGGCCCCGGCATGTGTATTGTAGATTTAGGGCTTCGGTTTTTAAGGCTTTCAGGTAATTCAGAAACTCAGTCCCCTTCAAACTCAAAAGTTTTCAAGCACAATGAGAACTGTTGCCGTAGATCCCTTCAACATGACTGGTTAGTACAAAAGAATATCCTTAAACAACTAGACCTATGTGCATGAAGTTGCTTTTAAAGCTCAGAGAAACCGCAGGCAAACCCTCTAGTATTGCTTATGCTGACACTTCTAGAACCCTGCAAAAGCATCCCTTAAAGGAGCCACCCCAGTTAACCCCGGGCCCTAAACCCTAATCCAAGGGCCCTTTAATAGAGACCTTACGGTGCTTAATAGTAGGTACAGTATTGGGGGTATGATAGAGAGTAGTTGGGGGCTCCACCCTAAAGCCCCAAAGTAGTTCCTTTTCGGGGTTCATATTTAGAATCCTATAAGGTAGTCCCAAAAAAGAACTACTTTGGGGCCTAAACCCGAGGCTGCCCTCGGAGAAGAAGCCTCCACCAGGGAAGCGAAAGGGCCCCGATGCCGCGGCGGCCGGCAGCCCAGCAGACCGCAAGTCACCTTTAAGGCTTCAGGTGTTTAGGGTTTAGGGGTTTATAGGGCTTGACGGATTTATAGGGTTTACGGGTTTAGGGGTTCAGGGGTCGAGGGCTTAGGCCTTTGGGCTTTGAGGGTTGATTGAGGGCTTACGAATTCGGCGGTTGTTGGGACCTATGCGGATCAGGAATAATTGGGGAATGGAGGGGAATAGGAAGTAGGGGTTGAGGGTTTGGGGAACTGGCGATTTAGGGTCTATAGGGGTTATACGGATTTTGGAGACAAGGAAGTAGGAATCCGGGTCCCTGAACCCTTAAAATGTAGATCCGCTGCAGGAGCCCTTGAAGGAGGGCCCCACTTACGACCGTAAACCCTAAACCCTGAACCCTAACCCCAAACACTAAACCCCAAGCCCTAAAGCCCTGAACCCCACACCTCTGCCCTCGGCCCTCTGCACTCTGCCCCCAGGCCCCCTGCTCTGCCCTGCTTGCCTTGCCTATTGACAAGCTTGAAGAAAGACAGAAAACCATGGAATGAGTTTTGGCTTCAACCCTAAAAGGAATAGGTTCGGGTGGTTGGTCGCCTTATACGGTGTGGGGTGGGAAAGAAGGGAAAGCCTTCTACAGACAGGCTTTGGCAGCTCATCGCCTTAGGACGATGCACTTGATATTGCCATGTCGCAAGATACCATCGCCTGCGCGCTCTTTCACGGCAAACCCTTCACCCCAAACCCTAATCCCTAAACCGCTAAACCCTAAACCCCTAAACCCTAAACGCCAAACCCTTAACCCTAAACCCTACGCCCAAATTCAAACTACCGAGGCCGAGAAGAGGGCTCGACCGGACTCGGCGGGTGAGTCCCAAGGTGCACTGAGGTTTTGGGGTTTCTTTGCGCGTTTTCCTCTCAGGGTTCCAGAGGGGTTTAGAGTTTAGGGTGTCTTTAGGGGTTCCTTTAAGAGTTCCTTTTAAGGGTCCCTTTAAAAAAATCCGGTAGGGTTTAGGGTTTAGTTTGGCTTTTAGTCTGCGTTTTTTTGTTTGAGGATCCCTGGGTTTGTTTTTGTGACTGCACCGTTCTGTCTTTTAGGGCAAAGTTTAAGGGCTCCTTTCGAGGTTTAGGGGTTTAGGGTAGGGTTGGGATTGTAGTTGTTGTTGTAAAGGGTTTAGGATTCATTTTGCTTTTGAGGGCTCGGGGCTCTGAGGTATAGTTATTGTTGTTTTTAAGCCCGAAACCGCATACTCTCAAAACCAAAACAACCTGCAGGCCTAGCCAACCCGCACGATCCAGAACAAGCCAAGAGCTGCTGATACCCCCGAAAGCCTGCAAATACAAAGGGTGCACACCCACACCTCCTGTCACCCCAACAGTGGGCGCCAACATATGACACATATGCCCTTAGACCCGAAACCCGAGGCCACGTTGCCCAAAGCCACGGAAACCTCAATAAATGTCTAAACCCCGAGCCCGAAACCTCAGACTCCGAGCCGGCCTAGGCCCATCTAAACCTAAACCCGAAACCCTACACCCATTTACATAAACCCATCTAAGACTTGAGCCCTTAGCACCACTACACCCCTAAACCCCTAAACCCCCAAGCCTCTAAGACCCCGAAAGCCCTAAACCCCCAAAGCAGCCGGCTCTGCCGTGAAAAAGGCTTAAACCCTAAACCCTAAACCCTAAGGTGACATTTGGCCCTGCCGGGGCCTCGTGGTCCGGATCACCAGCCGCGCTGCGGAGCTCAAGGCTCCGCAGCTCCCCGGTTTAGGGTCTAAGGTGGAGAAAATTTAGGAGTTTAGGGCCTAGGGTTTAGGACGTTGCCTTCAAGGGTCGATTTAAGGGTGCCTTTACCGACTTTGCCGGTTCCTTTGAGGGCTTCTTGACGGCATAGATTCCTTTGAGGGGCTCCAGGCTTTGAGGAATTTAGGGTCTAGGGTGCACTAGAGGGACCTCAAAAATTGCATTAGGATTTGGGTGGTTTGTCAAAATTCTGGTACCTTTTTGGGTCCCTTGCGTCCCTAACATGGTACGGCACCTAATATTTAGGATACCCAAAAAAGGATTTTAATTATGACCACCACCAATTTTGGAGTGTGCTATAGCATGGCTGTGCAATAGTTGTTTATAGGGTTTTGTGGGGGCGGTTCGCCAGCTTCGGCTTCGGAATTCAGCTCGGTCATGGTAAGCACAAGCAGAGAGGTTGTCACAAGTATTGTGGCGTTTTGCCTTTCGGGCTGAGGGGTGCTCAAAGGGGCTTAACTTAGAGGCTGTGGTTCCATCGCATAGACTTAAGCATTCTAGGCCGTTACGGCATAGGGGTCTTGTCGCTGAGGACGCTAGGGGAGTGCTTAAGTCGTTCGCTTGGTGTTTTGGGTACGACGGCTCGAGTCTGTTTTGATCATCTTCACCGTACTCCGTGTTATGTGCGGTGTTGTCAGGAATGCTTGATGGGCTGTAAGCAAACATGGGGTTTAGGATTCGTCTTGTTTCGAGAGTGAGCACTGGACGTGTGTTCGAGGTTGAAGGATTCAAGGCTGAATCAAGAGCCCTGCACAGGCCTCAGACCCTAAACCACGACCTTTGGACCTCTAACCCTCTGCCCTAAACCCTACGCCGTAAAGCTTCGACATAGAGGTCTGCAGAATCTGTAGCGTATGGCCTCTATGTCATGAAGATACCACCTAAACCCTAGTTGTTCTGATACTCGGTCCTCACTGGTTCGAGCTTCTGCTCTACAAGTCCTGCATCAACGAACACAGAAAGCTTACTTGAAGGACTTCGTCGGCGTGGATGGGGCTTCTCGGCCAGCGCTTACCTGTGGCGTGACAAGTGGGCTTTGACCAGACTATTCTAGTGGTTCCTACACTGAAACACGAAGCCTAGGCCCTAAACCGCCTAAGCCTATCTCCTACTTTAAGGGATCGGGCCCCTGCATTCGCGATAAGGCCAAGGGCCCAGTTTTCGGGCTCAGGTGTCTGAGTTTCGTCATAAGCACCAGCCACGGGGGCTGCCTAGCTACCCCAAGGCTCCATGCACCCTAAAATGCACATATTTGGGCATTGCTGTACCCATAGGGGAACCCTTCCAAGGCCTATATGTCTATACTATATGCAAGGGGGCCTTACATCCTAAACCCTTCAAGGAACCCTGTAATTCAAGGGATACTCTGTAGCCACATGGAGCCTTAATTCCCTATACTCAATGGTCCTTACGCCTCAAGTTTCGAAGCTTTGAGGCCAACTCGTTTCACACCCCCAATCACCTAAACTGCCTAACCTCCTGAAACCTAAAGGCCTTATATGGGCTTACAAGCCTCCGATAGTTTTGCGGTTCTTTACAGCAGTTATAGCAGAAAGTAGAGGCCAGAAAGTTGGAGCATCATTATCCCCCAAGCTTTAGGGTGGTAAAGTAAAGGGCTTGATGAGACGAATCATCCTTATCCAATGCGTTTAAGATCACTATTCTGGGAGCTCTATACTGAATTCTCCGAGCTCTATCTACTCCAAACCCTGAGCCTTTATTATGGTTTAGCAGATGTTCGACTTTCTTGTGTGGTTGCAAGCCCCGAGGTGCGAATCACAGCACAGGTCTGATTTAGGGTGTAGGTTTTGGGCGTAGAGTTGGGGGTTAGGTTTTGGGATTTAGGGCTGAGGGCTTCGGGTTCAGGTTTCAGGGTTTCGGGCTTCCTTTTCCTGCAACCCAGGTCGTGCTTGAAGTTGACCCAGAGAGGCAGTCTTGGCCTCAGGGTTTCGTCTTGGGTTCCTTAGGGCGCAGGGACGAAGGTTTGGTCACAGGAATGATTTAAGTCACGGTGTACGCCCTCTAGCCCCTTACTAAACTTCAAACCATCCTATGGCCCTAAAGTCTAAGGCTTTTGTCCATCGTTACTGTTGACGGTTATCACGGCTTGGGTTTTCGGAGGTAGGGTCTTCAGATTTGCGGCTGTAGGGCCTTGGCTGTCGGCATGAGTTCATACAACCCAAGGGTTTAGGGTGAAAGGCGTCATGTAGATAGTTATCAGCCTGACAGCCTGTTAATCGTGCTCAGAATTGCTGGAACCACAACCTCAGCATCATGCCCGGAAAGCTTACGCTCACGAAATCAACCCCAAAGCAAGCCCCTGCGCGAGTTTTGAAGCAGACGGCCTTTTTCCGAGAATCGCACTTGGGTTTTATCTTCAGAGCTCCACTTTCTGCGCCCTGAGTCCCCCTCAAACCCTAATCATAACCCTTCCTACCATGAACCAATGAAAGCCCCGTGGTATTAGAGTTGCAATCCTCTGGGTCCCTTGTATACCCATACCACAACATGCCTTCGGGGTCTGTAAATATAGCTGCACTGTAGAATATGCCCCCAAACTGGCCCAAAACCCTATACCCCATTCCCCTAATATAGCTATACTACAAATGGCCACCAAAACTATTGACCAAACAAGAACTACACTCCCTCATATAGTTATGACTATACTGCTATACTACGATAGGCTCCCAAGCCCTATTTATTCATATGGGAGTTTCCGAAAATAGGGGACCCCAATATGGCACGTTATATCGTAGGATCCTTTGTATAAGGACCCCCAAATAATAAGGTACACCGAATTTTCGGAAACTCCCAAACCCTAAACCCTAAACCCTATAGATCCCTTATAGGAACCCTTAAAGATCCCAGAAATGGAGCCCTAACTTTCCGATTTATTCATATTGGACCCTGCTTCGGAAGTTCCCCCCAGGCGCTGCAAGGTCAAAGCGCGCAGTGCAGCGGCAAAGAAGAGCCAGGCACGGGATGGGAGTTAGGATTAGGGGGACCCTTGGGAATATAGACCCTCTCAATACGGCCCCTTTTAAGAGAGCCAGAAGTAGGGTTCAGAAGGGGTACCCTTCATGGGCTCTCCCTAATTATACTACCTACGGGACCGGATCTTCCTGGGTAGTTCTCTATATGGGGCTCCGTCTAAAGGGATCTATAAGGGTTCCCTTAAGGGCTCCTAGAAGGGATCTTTAGGTTGTCAAAGTTAAGATCCTTTTTTGGGTCCCTAGTATGATACGCCACCTATGATTTAGGGTACCCGAAAGAGAGACTTTTATTTTGAGAACTGCCCATATGAGGGTCCCTTTTAGGGAAGAAGGGACCCTACCACCCACCGATGCCAACCCCAGGGACAGATAGAGGTAGTTTCCTATTTCCGGCCCTTTCGAAAAAGGGTTCCGTATTAAGATGAGGACCTCAGAGGGCACTCTACTTTAGAGAACTACCCATCCAAGCAAACAGGAAGACTAAAGCCTCAAGCCTACACCTCAGGACAGATTTCATCATAAGAAATGAAAGACTCAAAGGACTCATCCCATTTGTGGCTTTGGGCTTTGGGGTTCAAATGCCATATACGCTATCAGGCTCTCGGAGTTAAGGTTAGCCTTAGGGCAAACCCTCCATTTTAGGGTTCAGGATAGAGCCTCAAATGAGAAGCCTCTCCGTGCACAGCGGGCCTCTCCTTGGGACCCGAGGTCAAAAAGGCTTTGTAGCTACCTGATTACGAGAGTAGCTAGCCATTAACCAAACCTTTTTGGGGTACTACAAGACCTAAATAACCTCACAGGTAAGTATGTAGTTACCTTATTACGAGAGTAGATAGAACCGTTTTGGGGGTACTACAAGACCTATATAACCCCGCAGGTAAGTAATGACAGGTTCCTCACTGAAAGATCTGAAAGGGTTTGGAAGTTCACGAAACCTTGCAAAGCAACCCAATACAATGCTGCAGGCTCGTCGGTCTAGCCTCCAGCAGAGCCTGCAAAGCACTAATCCTAACAATCCTAAACCCTCAAGTAGGAGTCTAGCCCAACCTTTACGCCCGTGTGAAATTCAGAGGCCGAAAACCTTATAAGACCCTTACACAGCTCTTGCAGCAACAATAAAACTTGTATACGAGCCTTCCAGAAACCTTCGAGAGTACCTTATAAAACTTACAACGACCCTCACAGAATGCTCGCCTATACAGCCCTATACAGCCCTTAACAAAGAAACGTGTTGCAAACCACGTTGCAGAGCCTGTCTTAAACCCTTGCAGAGGCTTGTGGAACCCTTGCGGAACCCGGACAGAATAGAAGCTATGTGCACCCCTTGTAGAACCTTCATCAGTAAAACCTCTCTGCAGAACGTGTCTGCAACCGGTAAAACCCGCTTACAACCTTTCTTGAGCCCTAATGTAACAGTTACTGAACCCCTGTAAATTAAATCCTCATTGGACCGGAGCCCTAAAGCCTGTAACCAAGCCGCCCGAACCCCCGAAACTCTAAAAGCTAAGCTCCGGTGGACCTTATCGGATCCTTCGAGAACCGAAAGGTTCTCCCCGACATCCGCATTGCTGACCTCGAGTGCCGAACTTATGAGTTCCGGTTTTTGTTAGGTTTCCAGGCTAGTTTAGAGGGAAACCTAGGGTTCAGGTCAGTGTGGGTTTAGGGATTCGGGAATTCAGGCTGTCGGGTTTAGGTTGTTTGGGTTAGGCTTTCAGGATTTCGGGGATCAGGGGTTGTTGGGCCAAGGATGGCTTGGGATTTGGGGTTCATGGTTGACCAGAAGAAGAGTATTATTTGCATAGTTCCGGCCGGGGTACAAGATTTTTGATTTGGGGGTTAAGGATTCCAGGTCAGGGTTTAGAAAACATCGGGCTGTGCACAGCCTCCTGCTCTCTCCGCTGCATCCTTTTCAATTTGTGGTTATCCGTCTCGGTGGTTTGGGTCCTATTATGTCAAAAAAGCAAGGTAATGTAGAGTTCTTAATACAAGGCCCCCCCCGGTTGATTTCAAGCCCCGCCCCGGGTCCAGTAGCTGACTTTCTCTGCGACTCTGGGAAGGCTGACAAACAGGCAGTCGGAAGCTCTAATTGCTCTCCTTGCAGCACCGCAGCAGCCACACATACGGTTGATGATATAAATCCTGCACGACCCGTTATAATATGAGGAATATACCATAATTTCCATAGTTTCGGGTCCTTAAGGTAATGCAGGATTCATATCACCAACAGTAGCAGCCACACATTCAGCGTTTGTCTCTGCTCCTTCTCTGCTGCTTCTGAACCAGGCAGATAACAACAGCCGGTTCAACAAGTCAGCCAGGGTTTAGGGTTTAGGGCGGATTTTCAGGATCGCTGTTGGAATTGAGGGAGGGTTTATTGTGTATGTTCTTGATTTTCGCCTATCGAGGGAGCGTTTGAAATTAACAACTCAACATTCACCAACACAAGGAACATCAATGGGGACCCTAAATCCTGAACCCCACGTCGTGGGCTTTATGTACTTATGGCATCGGCTTATTTCCAGCTCCGGCACTCCGGGCTTCGAAGTTTCTGAAGCCTTCACCTTCTTGAGCCTTTGCTTTGGCGTTCCGCCCTTCGGGGATTGCGGGTGCCGGTAATGCAGAAGCCGGAGAAATGACCACACGATTCCTGATGGCTCCTTGCTACGATGTTAGTATAATATTTGCCTCCCCAAAACCCCGTTCCAAGTCTTCAGGCCCCAGCTATGAGGTTACATTCAACTACAGGTCTTTGGTGAAAAGGGCTTAGATTGGTGAGCCTTTCTAGGTGGCTTGCTTCTAGAAGGAGCTTAGAAGGGCTTTGGGGTCCAGGATGCAAAACGGAGAGGGTTTCGAGCCATGGATGGGTGGTTAAGCCATTGTGGGCGTGTGAACTCCTCCGAAATCCGTGGGGTCGAGCATACGATGCTAGTCGCAAGCAGACAAATTTGCCTAGCTTCTAGTTTCAATCCTTAATTCCCAAACCCTAAACCCTAAACCACATCCTTGAACCGTACAAAAAACACATATATATATATAGATATGTATATATATATATATATATACATATATATATATATATATCAGCCCTTGAGCATCCCAAAGCTTCTTCGACTCTTTGCGCTTGAGGCCTCGTGTCAGCGGACAGTGCCAGGAGGTTCAGATCATACGGGGCCCCAAGAAAGGAGCCAGGGTTTAGGGGCTAGGGTTTAGGATTTACGATTTCCGGGTTTAGGGTCTAGGGCTTGGGTTTGCCAGGCTAATATGGCTTGTAATAGCATTTTGTAAAGGCTGTGATCGTGCTTTTGTCAGGGGCCCCAAGAAAGGAGCCTGACGTATACATGGGTAGTTCTCCAAATTAGAGGATCCCTTCCGGGGGGGGTTCCTTTTTTTTATGAAGGTGCCGTACTATTTTGGATCCTTTTTGGATTTTTTTTGAGGGTGCCGTACTGTTTGGGGGACCTGAAGAGGGACGAAGACAGAAGCCTTACACAGGCTTGTGCTTGTTGCAAAGGTGTGATGGTGCTCTTAGTTGTTTATGGAGGTTTCCTGCGGGTTCTCCGTGGTTCTTTTAATTGTCCCGAAGTTGAAACACAAGCCGACCATAGGACCTTACTACAGATGCCAGTGGTTTCATGCATTTTGCACGACATGAAACTAAGGGAGCTACGCCATGCCTTCACAAGGGCTGCATGGCCCGGGTTTTAAAAGGGTCTGTGAAAAAGGTGTTCTTCATACCGATGTTGGTGAGCCGACTTAACTGTCGGTACTTGATTCAAGTCGTTCAAAACGATGAGAAGCTCAGGTGTAAGCCCACCCGAACCCTAAACTCCAAACCCTAAGTCGTCATCCTAGACTCTAGACTCTAAACCACACCAAAAGCCCTCTACTACAGAAGCCGAGAAAATTAGAAGCACTATTTCGTAGGGCATCCCAGACTACGAGCCCCTTCTATATGGCCACTATACCAACAATTCGAAAGGCTACTAGGACCTAGAGTAGGCCCTTATTCCCTTTTTTAGGGTTCAGGTTCCCTTATAAGCCCCATTAAACCAAAAAGGGCACCCTTTTTATTCCTAGGTTACTCTTGGGTCTAGGCTAAAGCAAGGTTCCAAAAATGCCTCCTTTTAGGGGCCTTACTCGCGAGTGGCAAACCCTTCGAGGAGCCGAAGTATTTCCGAACAGCTTCAATCCCTAAACGAAACGAATAAACCGAAGCAGTCACAAAAGGTGCTGACAAGACCGACGAAATCTGGGCCAAATCCTAAACTACAACCCTAAGCACTAAACCCTAAACTCTACCCGGTAAAAGCAAAGCCCTAGCCTAAACCCATCAGAACCTAAAACCCATCTGTCCTATGCTCTCCGGCTCCTTTCTGTCTCCCACTTACGACCCTAGGATGTCCAGTAGTACCCTTATTCCCTTTTTGTAGTCCTAGGTTCCTTATAAAGTTACCCAATACCAAAAAGAGAGGCCTTTTTTCTTCTTAGGTTACTGGGTATCCTGGGACCGTAAATCCTAAACTCCCCAAAGCCCTATATGGGTGGTTGTCAAAATTCGGGTCCCTTTTTGGGTACCCTAACTATTACGTGCCATATTATAATTGGGACCCAAAACCGGACCCTATTTTTGACAACAACCCATATAACCCCAAGCCATAAACCCCTAAACACCAAACTCTGAACCCTAAACCCCAAACCCTATGCACTCAAGAGCCCGAGGCCCTTTAACTCGCAACCCTGTTTAGTCCCCGGAACCCCGGAAGGTCTTCAGGAATGAAAAGACATTTAGAACCCTAAAGACCCCATAAGCGTCCAGGGCTCCTGAACCAAGTTTTAGAGCACTATATTCACTCAAGGGTTTGGGTAGACTTATTGCCGTAATTCCTTCCAGAACTGGGCCCCCATCCCCCTTCCAAACCTCAGCCCCAAACTCTAAGCCCTCATGCGCAGAAAAGGCCACTCTGCCTTAGAACAGCCTAAGCCTTCAACCTCAACCCTAAACCCTGGACCGTAAACCGCCCGCCTACGTCCATTGTGCGAAGGAGAGGTCGCCAAGCTCATCAAGCGCGACGTCAACTCGGGAGAGGTCGAGGCTGGAAGTTGCCTTCTAAAGATCATTGAAAAAAGTAGTAGTGATAGCACTATGAACTACTAACCAGTCACAGTAAGAATAATGATGAAACTTGATCATAGCAATCATACTGCAAGATTGTTATTGCGAGTAGTGCCATTAGTAATAGTTAGTAGTAACAGTTAGTATTAAGAGTGACGCCTAGATAATGGGACGTAGGGTCAAGCCTTTTGGGTCTCGGTTTCAGGGTTTAAGCCCAAAACGATTCAACCTTAAAAGGGCTTTTGTAGTGGCTCCGTATCAATCTGTATTGTATCTGTATACATCGTATACATATATATATATGTATATGTATGTATGTGTAGGTATGTATATGTATGTATATGTATGTATATGTATGTATGTATGGATAGATGTATGTATGTCTGTATGTATGTATGTATGTATGTATGTATGTACTTATGTGTGTATGTATGTACATACGTAGGTATGGAAGTATGTGTATTTCTATGTGTATATATATATATATATATGTATATGTATACATACAATATATGTAATATATATATATATATATATATATATATGGTCACCCCCCCCCATGACAGACCATCCCCTTCAAAACATCGCTCCCACCGGCGTGTTCGTGCTTTTTCCGGGGTATCGAGTTTGAGCCCTCCGAACGTATCCCTGGAACCACCAAAAGACTGAGACCAGAAAGCAGCACGATAAGGCGAGCGGGTGTCCTACCAAGAAAGGAATTACAGAGCACACGTGTATGGATGAGGGTTGTGCTGATACACTACATAGTAAGCATTACACAGTAATTTTACTTGAGTCATATATAGAGCAGATTCCAGCATTTCCAAAATTTCCAAAATTCTCTCCCCTAACTTTCCGGATTTCCAAAATTTCCAAAATTTCCAAAAAGTCCGCCCTTATGTTTTGGAAAAATCCTGTCGACTAGGTCGGGAAATTTTGGAAATTTTGGAAATTTTGGAAATTTTGGAAATTTTGGAAATTTTGGAAATTTGGAAATTTTGGAAATTTTGGAAATTTTGGAAATCCGGAAAGTTAGGGGAGAGAATTTTGAAAATTTTGGACATGCTGGAATCTGCTCTATATATGACTCAAGTAAGAGTACTGTGTAGTGCTTTTAACACTAACGTTGACATTTATATTAATGCTTTTATTACGAATATGCACATTACTAATACTATTATTAACGTTAATATTCCTACGCCTACCAATAGTCATATTCATATTGATATTAATGCCAATACTAACAGACACCTGCGTATACTAATGTCCGCAGATATACATACCACTATCTGAAAAGCAAATATATCAATGCATTCGTGTACTAACGTAGTATATTCGTCTTTAATTTGGCATATACCCAGTTTCCAACGTGACAATATACTACTTGTTAACGTCTGGTTATACTGTATTGATATGCTAACTTGCTAAGACACGAATACTGTAATATGCAAGTACACTGACACATGGCAATGGTATACTAACATACGGATATACCAAAAAAGTTGTTAGATAATATACGAATATGATAAATGAAGTAGCATACCAGGGTACTCATACATTAATATGTTAATAATCGAAGATAATAGCACACCAATATACTAATGTACTCATGCACGAACGTACGCATGCATTAATATACTAAGAGCATACAAACATACAGGTATACAAACATATTACTGTTCGAATACATTATAATGTGTTGGTATACTAAGCTGTTTTTATAATCTATCAGTATACTAATATGTCAAAACTAATTATAGTATTGATACGCATACTAGCACGTCCGCGAATATTACACTGATGTTAAATTCATCATTAAGACTGATTAAAACTGACATCGACATTGGCACTGGCATTAACACTAATTATCACTAAATATGCTAGTGTACTAATATACGAATACTGTAAAAGGCAAGTACACTGACATGTTCACATGCCATTATGCCAACATATTGATATACCTATAAGCTATTAGGGAAAATACGAATATAGTAAATGTAGTAATAGACCACTATAATAATATACTAATATACTACTACGTTAACATACGAATATCATGATACACCAATATACTAATGTACTCATGCACCAACGTACTAATATATTCGCGCAATCTTCAACTATGCAAATATACTTTTGTTCGAGTACATTACTGTATTATATTAAGCTAAAAATTTACGAATCAATCAGTATATTCACATATCAAAACTATTTCTAATACTGACACTAATACCAGCACTTCTGTGAATAATAAACAGATACCAAAACCAGCATTCAGACTGATACTAATACTAACACGAGTACTATTACTGACATTGACATCGACACTGGCACTAACACCAGCACGAACATAATCACGAGTTCATATTTACTATTATTGCTATGTATACTTTTATTCAACACTAATACTAATGCTGATGCTAATACTAATACTAAATACCAATACCAATACTAGTACTGAAGCAGTACCCATCCTAATATCAATACTACCACAAAACTATTACCCATATGAACACTGATACCCGGATTAGGACTACTACGAACAATGACAGCAGTACTAAGAATAGAACCAAGAACAATACATATTAATCCTAACACTAATACTAGTACTAATACTAGCTACTAATTCTAATACTCATACTCAGACCAATACTAATGTCACCACTACTGCTGCTACTGCTACTGCTACTACTACGACTACTACTACTACTACTACTACTACTACTAGTACACATAGTTAATACTAAAACTAATACTGATACTCATACTAGTCACTAATGCTAATACTAATACTCATACTAATACTAATACCAATACTAATGCTACCACTACTACTACTGCGCGACAACTATTGCTAGTACGACGACTACTACTATTAACATCAATACACATACTTAATGCTAATACTAAGAGTAATACTAATTCGAATACTATTACTAACACGAAACATCCTAATATCAATACTACCACAAAACTAATACTAATGCTAACACTGATACAAGAATTAAGATCTACAAACAGTAATAGTGGTACGAAGAGCAGAATTGAGATTAAGATTGGGACTAGGAGCGCTGCATGCATGTGAAGAAATTTCCAAAAATTGCAAACCATCTAAAAGAACATTTTGGAATTGAGTTTGGGAGAAGTGTCTGTCGCCTATCCGTTGACAGATCCTGCCTGGGGACGCACGCCACCCTTCCCCTTCCCCACGACGGTCTGTCATGGGGGGGGGGGGGGGTGAGCATATATATATATATATATATATATATACATACATACATATGTACATACATTATATATATATATGCACACATGCATGCATGTATACATACGTACATACATATGAATATATATATATACACACACACACATATACATACATAACTTTATACATACACACACATATATATATAAGATCATATATTCAGGTTCATACTCGTGACCCATGGTTCTGGCTTAACAGGGCTTAGTATACCTGAAACCACATCCAGCAGGTGGAGATTAATGGGTCGAACCAGACGATGCCAATGCAGAGCGTGTGGCGAACTCAGACTGCGGCGGCGTCTCTTTTCTTGGGGGAGGATCTGCCCCAAACACTGAAGTGCTGATTTGGTAATTTCAGATCCTCTTATTGGATTCCCAAACGGTCCGGTAAACTGCCCTAAACCCCTAAACCCGAAATCCTAAACACTGAAACCCTGAGCCATAAACCCCTGAGGACCCTTTCTTTGTGCAAGATCCTCGGAGCATTGGCAGACTGTAAGGCCGAAAGCCCAGCCCCAAGCCAGCCCTCCACATCATAAGCCCTAACAAATACCATGCTGTTCAGTGGTACGCTTTTTTACTTTCAGGTTTCTGGGCTTCTATTCTAAGATAAGAAGCCTCAAAAGTATATACTTTTTCCCAGTGGGTTACTGAACAGCCTAGAATAATCGAGGTAGGGGTTAGATGTTTTGGATTTTAGGAACAGAGGGGCCATGGGGACTAGGTGTTTAACCTAAAACCCAAAAACCCTAAGCCCCTAACCTCCTAAGCCTTAAACCCTTAAAGACGAGCCGAGACTTCGATGAAAGGAAAGGCAGATGAATGAATGAAGCGAAACCCTCGTAGAACCCGTAAAGTTTCCCGGTTTAGGATTTAGGGTTTAGGGTTTTAGGGTTTAGGGTTTTAGGGTTGTAGGGTTTTAGGGTTTTAGGGTTTAGGGTTTTAGGGTTTTAGGGTTTAGGGTTTTAGGGTTTAGGGTTTAGGGTTTAGTGGGGCCCTGAAAGAAACCCCATGAAACACGAAAGCGGACTGTGACTGGAGCCCCAAACACAAACCGCTGGGAATGAAACCCCCTCGGGGTGCAGGGTCTGTAACTTTTCTGGTCAATAATATCGAAGCACCCTAAACCCTAAACCCTAAACCCCCTGAAGCCTGAAATTCCAAATAGCTGGGTTCGGGTCAAGGAGTTAAAGTTTTAGGGTCAGGGTATGAGGACCTATAGTTCCACGGTTGATGATATAAATCCTGCATTACCTTAAGGGCCCTAAATTATGGGAATTATAGTATATTCCTTATTGTGGCTAATGCAGGGTTTATATCATCAACCGTAGTATTATTGAGGCCTTGCCTTGGGCTGGCGCAGTCCTATACCCTAAGAACTAAAACTTCACAAACTCTACCCACTGCCTAGGCCCCCAAAGTATGTAGAATAATCGCCTTTGAAAGGTTTTGGGCCTGTGTTTTACATACTTCTGGGGTCTAGGTGAACCCTAAACTCAAACTGAACCTTTATGAAACGCTACACCTACCACCTTCTAGGTGCCAGTTCATGGCGTGACCGCGACTGTCAGCTCCCTCTTGCCGGACCTCTCTCTTTGCCCTGCACCTACGGTGTTGATCCGTCAGAGACGACCACCCATGAACCATTGTGTATACGCATGTGTATGCATGTATATTTATATGTATGTATACAAGTATATAGAGAAAGAGGGAGACAGAGAGAGAGAGAGAGAGAGACAGATTCTTGTGTATACATATGTGTATGTGTATACAGGTATGGGAGCATGTATGCACAGACTATGTAGACATAGATCTTGTGGATACGGCGCAACATAGAGCTCTTCCTAGCGGCTACAACGATTAGTCTCGTGAAGAAAAGGTTGTTATTCACTTTTTCTAGCGTGGTTACTGCAGGTCCCACTGGCAGTAGGCTACAATGAAGGTTCTCTGTGGCTTCCTGGGGTCTTGAAAACGCTAGTGTAGATTCGATGCGAGAAGGCTTGGTTGAAAGAGTCATTAGTTTACGGATGTTGTAGGACTTAAGCCTTTCTCCAGAGCCGAGCGACCACCTCGCTCTCAATAGCGAAAAAGGGTTCTGTGATCAAGTCGCTGCAAACTGAGAACTCTGGTCCCAGACCCTAGCCCCTGCAGCCTTAAACCATCTTACACGTATACAACCTGAAAGCCTATAGGCACCTAAACCCTACATGAGTCATCGAGGACTTCGGTGCACTGACGAGGGCTCCGCCGGCTGGCACTCGCGAAGCCATCGTCGCAAAAGTTGGCCACTGCCTTGTAATTGTTGGGCCAAGCCTGAATAGACCCGCTACACCTGCGAATGAATACTCTATATCCGAAAACTCTAGAGCCCTAGACTTTAGGGTACTGTGGGACTTGGCTTGCTAGCCTGATCCCAATCTGTTTTCCGCAGAAAACTAACTGTAAGAAGATATGAGAAATTTTCAAGTTCGTGTTTTAGGGTTTAGGGGGTTTTGGTTCATCATAACAAGGTGCCCGAAACTTGGAGCAGGTAAAGCCTCTGCGCGTCATAAAGAAGGAACCTGATTAGCCCTAAACGGCATTGTACCTTGGTAGTATATGTATGTTGACCCTGGTTTACCTTCAACTGACTTAGGAACCCTCTTGACGGCCAAAAGCACAAAAGCATCGGTACATGGATCCTTTGGCCTCTTACTCCAAAGTTCTTACTGCAGAACCCTCAACATGCCCCGCTAGAATCCCGAAAGGAACCCCATAATGGACCCTGGGAAAAAAGCTCCCCTATCCTATGTCCAGGCTGGTTGTTCTGGCGCCAGCCCTTCCCTGCTTCATGCTGCCGTATCAGGCCGGCAGTAAAGGTTTAGGAGGAGTTTGGGGGGCTTAGGGCTTCTTGTTACCATCCCTAGTCTGATGTCTAGTCTACAAACCCCTTGAGCGCAGCAGCCGGGTGTGAATCAGGGGTCTACCCTGCTAAGCACCAAGAGGATTCCCTGCATCAATCAGAGGAGTCGGAATAGTCGGGAAGATTGTTGCTCAGTGTGTTTTGTCTCTGTGTGGTGTAGTAGCATACTGTACCCCAAACCCTATTCATGGAGTTACGGTCCCCAAACCAAAACCAGCATGGCTTTTCGTGACCTAATTTGCATGCACAGCCCCACCTTGAACAGGTGGCCTTCCACATACGGGAGGCGGAGTATCTCATCGCCGCTTGTCGGTTGGCAAGGCGTTCGGGTGCTTCATGGTCTTGGATTTTCGTGTTTTGAGGTTTAGGAGAGTTTAGGTACCGTGAGGTTCCCAGTACTACGGTTTACGTTGGGTTTTGGTTGCAGGGTTCAGTGATTCGCTCCGCCGAATACTTGAATACTACTATCGTAAACCGGCGTGTTTACCAGCTCAGGGCGTAGGAAGCCGATCCTGGATGTACAAGTGCACTCTGCACTCGCCGGAAATTCCAAAACTCTAAAACCAAAAGACCCAAATCCTAGACCCCAAACCCCAGACCCCAAACCCCAGACCCTAAACCCTAAACCCCAAACCCCTAAACGCTAATCTCCCAAACCCTAAACCCCTAAACCCAAACCCCTAAAGCCTCTTACAGGACCCAGCCCTCGAAAGCCCACGACCCTCAACTCCAGAACGCCTTGTGGGCTCTTGGGCACCTAAGTTTATACGATAATACACACCAATCAAGCCATAGGATCGGGTTATGATAGGGGTTAAGGGTTGGGGCTTGGGGAGAACATGCACAAATGCGATGAAAAGAACCAAAAACCTGTTCCAATTTTCAAGGCCTCTACGTTGCAGAAGATATTGTTTGGGGCTTCTGCTCGATGTTGTTCTGAGGAGATGATGCGCGAGGACGTGGCGATTCAGGGTTTTGGGTTTTGTTTCTTATAGAGTTAAGTTTACGGTGCTAGATCTCGGGCTCTTCCGGTTTACGGTTCTAGCTTTTGATCTGCGAAGCTTCGGGCTTCACTCCTCAAGGTCTTGTTTGCGGCTTTGGGGTTTTTGTGCAGGGTGTGAGGTGAGCCTTATTCTCAGACAGGCTCGTCGTAGCACCATCCTTGCAACTCTTCAACTGTCCCCGACCCAAAAAAAGCCAAAGCCTCTCATAGACCCAGACTTGAAGCAGTAGCATCTATAACGACTTCTTTGGCAGAAACGACCGCGATTTGGCGAGTCGTGAGTGCAAGTCAGCGGCACTGTTTCAAGGCTTGTCTATGCCTGACGTCTTACTGGCCGAACGGTGCAAAACTGCTTGTGAAAAACCCTAAACGCCAAACCCTAACCTCTAGACCCTAAACCCTAGACCCCAAACTCGAAACTTAAACCCGAAACCCAAGCCCACAGCATTTAGAGCCACAGAAGTTGACGCAGGACAGGCCGAAGTTCGCGAAGCGCTTGCGAACAAAGTTTGAGGCCTCAACTGGGGTCCATGAGGAGACGTTACAAGAGTTTCTGGCTAAGGGTTTAGAGGGCTTAGGGTTCAGGGCTTAGGGCGTAGGGTTTATAAGGCTTATATAGAGTCTGGAGTATATGGGGTTTTAGGGCTTGGGGCTTATAGGGCTTAGGGTTTATAAGGCTGATAAGGATACATAGGGTTTATAGAGTTTACAAGGTTTAGGGTTCAGGGCTTTTTGGGCTTAGGGTACATAGGGCTTAGGCTTAATAAGGCTTATGAGGGTTCAGAAGGGTTAGGGTTCATAGGGCTTAGGGTTTTTGGTTTGGGATTAGGATTTGTTAGGGGCCTTGGCGGTCTTTGGTGGAGGGCGTAGGGTTTAGGCTCGAGACTTGCCTAGGGTGTTTGTCTCCATGCAGTGTGTCATGTGTGCAGAAGATGATGTGGGAAGAGGTATTAAGGTATATGGAGACAGGAGTATCACTGTCGCTGTAAGGCAGTGTCGATATGGTCGCTCCGCCTTTGTAGGGCTCAGGGCAAAAAGGGCTTGGGGTTTATGAGGCTTCGGGTTCGTGGAGCTTAGGGCCTAGGGTTTAGGGTTTATTTATAGGGCTTAAGGTACATAGGGCTCTGGGTTTTTGAGGCTTAGGGCTCATATGGCTTTGGGTTTGGGGTTTAGGATTTCTTCGACGTGAGGCTTTGGCGGTCTTAAGTGGTGGGCATAGTGTGTAGGCTCGAGACTTGCTTATCTGTCTCCATGCATAATATGTCAGGGTATGTGTCATGTCTCAGAAGATGTTGGAAGAGCGTTTGGAGACTGAAGTATCAGTTGCATCCCTGTCGCTGCAGCGCAGCGTCGATATGGTCGCTAACCCTGTTGGATTGGCCCTGCGGTTGAAGAATACAAACTTACAAACCCTCAAAGCACCAAATCTTCTCCTCTTCCTGCGCCAGTTGGCCAGCGGCGGCAAAGGGGGTTCTGCAATCCTGGAGGAGCTCGAGGCATCGGAGCGGGGGTTTAGATGTTGTTCATTTTTTATATTGTTTTTTTCAAGTTGCGTTGGGTTGATACTCCGAGACTCTCAGTCCCAAGTATCCAGGGTTAACTCCACAAGATACCCGAAACATGTCTCTGTAATGTAAGGTGCAGTACTTTGTGGAGTCCTCGGTTTAGGGTTTAGGGCCAAAGATGACATAGAACTTGTAACATCTCCCACGCATGATCCAGTCGGGCTACGACATCGATGAGAGCGTCGAGTAGCTCTGAGACGAACGGGCGACAGGTCCAAAGAGGGTTGACCATGATTGTCCAAACAAAGTAGACTAGCCTGCTGGCATTTCATGCACAATTCCCATGCAGACGTGATTATACTGTTTGCTACTGTTTGCGTGCTTTGGTGGAGCTTAGGCTAGGACCCAAGACCGTCGAGAGGGTTCTTTCCTCGTGCGACTGCATGCATGATTGATCGACCTTTCGAAACTCGTGCTCGTGAAACTGCATCTGCGCTCCATGTGATTCAGGCCCATGTGATTTAGGCTGCTTCGGGACACTTCACTAGCCAATGATGTTATTAGGGTGAAGTTGCTTGGCATGTGGGGTGGTCCGACATGCACTGCACAGCAACCGCGTTGTGGCCACTGTGTGTGCTCTGTGCTTCGGAACCTGAGGGCACGTCATTCATGGAAAGCGGCTCAGGGTTGCAGGTTCAGGCTGGAGGTGCTAGATTCTAGGTTTTGGGGTTTAGAGTTTCAGGGTTCAGGGTTTAGGGTTTAGGGGTTTGGGGTTTCAGGGCTTAGGGTTTAGGGTTCAGGGTTCAGGGTTTAGAGGTTTGGGGTTTCAGGGCTTAGGGTTTCAAGGTTTAGGGTTTCAGGTTTCAGGTCTAGGACATGAGTTTTGGCCAGTCCCTTGGGCGAAGCTGCTGCAGAGCTCCCATCAAGAGTTTGCGCTCCTGTCCGCAAGCTCACAACCTCCTCTTCTCATTTAGGAGTCAGGGTTTAGGGTTCAACGGTTCCCATGTGCTGGTGTAGCGATTAGAGGGCTTGTAAGCCAATTTCGGCGCCGAACGGTGCAACATCGTGAAGAAAAAGCTCCCAACTCCAAACGTTGCAGACGTCGAAAGGGCTGGAGGTGCGATCGGGTTGCATTGACATGTCTCTCA